TCTCAATGTCAGACTACAACTGTAAGATATATCAGACAGGTTGATATTTTCATGAACACAAATAAGTCAACATAGAAATTACGAAAGCTGTGTACTTGCTTCTGTATGTAATAGTTTTGTTGAGGACACTCAAAAAGAAATTTGTTTAAGTTGTCGACAGATTAACAGAGATTTACAGAGAAAGTAAATAGTAATAATAATAGTTTATTTCACATATATGGCTACATAGCACATTGCATATTCAGATTTTGATTGACAATATATAATTCAAAGAATCAATATTTACATACTTGTAAATGTAATTTACAATTCAAAAATAGCTTAGCAATAATATATAGTTGCCATATAAATGAGCAAACAGTGATATAATATAATCATGTGGTATGAATTTGATTAAAATGTAGATTTCACTCCATTTTGATTTATTTCTTCCAACTAACTCGACTCCACATAGATTTGAGGTCAAATGAGAAGTTATAGAGTTAAACTGTGATCAGTGATGTCAGGTATTTTATTTACAGCACTTTGCTGCAAGCATTTCACACAATGAAAGTAACAAAAACACAGATTATACAGATAATTTCATACAACAAAATAGAAAGTGTATAATTAAACTAAACATTTCCTGGCTCTATTGGAATTAATATCAATATTGGAAGTATAAAAATATAAATGTGATTGAATCTAGGATTAAATCTAGAACTTAATCAGCAGTGTTCTACAGATTTTGTATTTCTTGTTATTACTGTATTGTAGTTAATAAGTAATGAAAAGAAAACAAGGCCCCAAGTTCACAAAGCATTCTCAGTCTTAAGTTAAGGTTTTACTCAAAATTGTTTGTCTTATTTTAACTCAAATATAGCACTTTACTAACTATTGTTGTTTTAATGTAAATATATCAATAAGAAACTGTGCAAAGTTTTGTGTTTCTGGATCAAAGATATTTCTCAAAAACAGTGATTGAAGGTTGAGCAAATTCTTAAGTCTGGGAATGCTTTGTGAACTTGGGGCCAGGTTGATAATAGTAAACAAAATATATCGAGACGCAATGAAATAGCACCTCTGAGATGACGTGGCATAACTTTGCACCTTCCACAAAACCTAGCTTTTTAAAAGCTGCATTATATACCCCACGTGTGTACCAGAAAAATCAACATACTGATTCTGTTGGGTTTAATTTTTTTGATTGAGAATTGTTCGGGGTGCGTTTACGCAATCTTCAAAACATTCTCACATGTTATCATCGTAATATGATGTTGTTACATCCTTAATTGCAAGATTAAAGCAAATCTTTAAAACAAAATTGAGCTGAAAAGTACTAAGTAGGGCGTTAAACCTGGATTCATTTCAAACAAGATTTACATTCATCCATTTATAAAAGTGATGTATTATTTTTATTGCATCTCAGTATAAAATATTAACAATGATAACAAAATTTATATAAATTTTATACAGGTGCACAACTTGTAATGTGTGAGCTTTATAAATGTATTAAATTATTCTTAAATATACATTATGTAAGATTTTGATAAAGAGCTAGCCATTCTTGCTATAATAGTTCGAAGATAAAAAATGTAAAATGACTAATTTGAAAATTTCATTCAAATTACTCTATTGCGAGCGAAGATATTAGCCTTTGAAGGCTATTTTAGAATATTTCAATTAATTGATGATACAAATTTCATCTTAACACACCTTATATAAACAATTCAACATAATGCTTTGAAACGTCTAACGTAAACCTTTTCAAATGAAACTTCGATTTAAAAATATTTTCGAACCCTCTGGACAAGTAAAATAGGATGTAATGGATAATTTACACAACAGGTGGGACACTTAAACATCTAGTACTTAGATAGAGATATTATTTATTTTCTGGAGCTTTCAAGCCAGCAAGAGTGTTATTGTCCCTTTAAAGTAAATATTATACAAAATAAAAGAAACTGTTCCAAAGCAATTTGGGATCACGTGGCTAAGTGGGTAAGACGCTGGCTCGCTAGCCTGGAGGTCGGGTGTTCGATCCCTGCATTGGCCGAGATTTTCCGGCGTGGTTCCCCCTTTTCAGTGATGCAGTACGGAGGGCCTGACAAGGACAGCTGTCTAATCCTTCGGATGATACGAAAACCCGAGGTCACCTGTATACATTGGAATGCACGTAAAAGATCCCGTGGCAGTTGGAATTCGATATAAGAATAGGTGATAGAGCCGCTGCCCGGGCAAAATTTCCCTTAAATCACACCTTATGGCGTATGCCCGTCTTCATTAGCCCAGCATAGGAGCAGAACAGTAGGACGTTAAACCCCATTTCATTTCATTTCCAAAGCAATTTGATCGTTTGAGAAGAAAAAAAATATATAGACATGGTCGAGACTATAATGAGTTTCATAACTTGCCCATTTGCTACGAACACTATGTGACTATATGCATGTATGTTGTATATGTAGAAAACTTCAAATGCTACTGGAACGACAGGTTGAGATGTCTCAAACAAATCTTTAGCAAAGAAAAGCTGTAGTAAAGAATACACATTTTTTTTTATAAACAATATTTTTATTCAAGATGTCTGAATGGGATTGGGGAACAGGCTTAGCCTATGTAAAACCCCTTGTTATAAACAAGAAAAGGGCACTGGGAAACCAGCCAAAACTGGCACGGACATGCCAAAGGCTAACAACAATATACACAAAACAATAAATAAAAAAAATAAAATGTGAATGTCATCATAATTTATTAATAATAATTTTATAATATGTAGTAGAAAATGATACACAAACGTGTGTTCGGATAATTTAATGTCCGAAAATAAATGGTTTATACTCCCGATGGTATGTTATATAACTAATTTAAAAAAAACTCATTAAAATTATGAATAACTTACATCTATTACACCGTCAAGTTCTTGAAATTCCAGGACGTCGTACGCTTCTGCCATGTTGACATACGGCCGGAAGTTACTTGTGCCTTATTGACTTCGCGCATGCGATGTACAACATAATTATGTCATCACCGTTATACGTCACCGAGTGGGCGTTCCCGTTAGTGTTCTAGTTCTATGGTTTAACGATTGAAAGACACCGCATATCTAGTTTAATTTAATTTTTTGTGTGAAGACAATTCGAAAATCCTGTTTATTTCACCATGACATCGACTCTTAGCACACTTTTTGCTCAATCTGATTACAGGGTTTCCGCGGCTTCGTCAAACATTTTTCAAGGATATTCAAGGATAAATATACGTCAAATTCAAGGATTTTCAAGGACATTTTTTAGCCTAAAGTTACAATTTTTCATCTTATAAAAATAACCAAAACATTACCAACTATCGTTATTATCTCATATTTAAAAGGAATTCAAGACATTTGAAAAAAAATTAAGGATCTCAACTGAAATTCAAGGATATTTTCCTATTTCCGCGAAATCCAAGGATATTCAAGACCTTGAAAATGAAATTTTAAATTTAAGGATATTCAAGGATTTTCAATGACCGCGGGAACCCTGGATTAAAACACAGATCCTATTTCGTTTCGATTTTTTATAGTTCAAAATTTCGTTTTACTTGTCTGTAGTAGAGACCATCAAAAGTATAAAACAACGAAACGAAATATAGATCAGGGTCCGTATTCAAAGGATATCTTAAGTCTAAGATAGTCACTTAAATACTAGATTTCACTTGAGTATACGTAACTTCCTTTAAGTTAGGGGTTAGCGGTATTCAAAGGCGTGAAGTATAAGATTTTCCCTTTAGTTAAGCTGCTTTAACTTTTAAGAGTGTAATCTTTTAGCGGTATTCAAAGGCCAGTTTAAGTGAGAAAAATCCACTTAACTTTAAGTGACCTATTGGAGGTACCTTAAAGGTAAGTGAGATTATAATGACTTCTTTTAACCGGAGTACACAAGGTAGTAGCAGGCCCGTAATGGCGATTTTAAAAGTTAGGGGATTAAGATTGAAACAAAGACAATGTGGCTGAGCGTTGCTGGCTGCAAACGTTTTTTTCATTATCAGCTTTGATTTTGTAGAGCCATGATAGTGTATAAGGTTACTACCACCGAAATGGTCAAGGTTTTTTCCCCAATCATCTATCATGTTCGTATTGCTTAATCATTCATGTTTTCCACGACGGTCATATAATACAGTTTGATGCGTTAACTTTATTTGTAAATTTGACATCGCGATTACATTCAATTGTATATATTTTACAGTTCGTTCCCACATATACATATTTTGATTGCTACATGTTCTTGTCTTCGTTTGTATAAATTTACAAATATATGATGACTGCTGACCGAAGCTTGTTACCAAAGATTAACAATTAATTTCTTGTGTTACCTATTACGTTGTAATCGGTAGTATTCATCCGGGAAGAAAAAAGCGCCACGTGCATCTTTTGTACACGCAATGTACCGTCATGGCCAGGTCTTTGGGATTAAGTATTTTTACTTAACTTTAAGAAAACCTTTGAATACGGACATTGTTTTTAAATCAAATTGCCGATTGCTTGGCCCGTACCAGAACGGTATTTACCCCCGCAGCGACTATGCTAGAGACTCAATTTTTCTTAAAGGGGATGTTGGATGGCCGAATGTTTAGCCCGTGCGTGCTGTATCATAAGGTCAGTCATTGAGTCAATTCGCGTGGTTTCGATTCCCCGGTTGTGTGTGACAAGGAGTAGTGTCGCCTGTCCAGCCTCGTGGGTTTTCTCCGGGTCCTCCCACTGCTAAAGACCCCTACGCGCAAGCGAATTATTAAAATAAAATTGAACCATATTATTTTAGTCCCGAAATGACCTAGTTTGTGTCGAGTGGATGTTAAACCATCTCTCTCTCTCTCTCTCTCTCTCCCTCTCTCTCATCCTCTCTATTTTCTTAAGAAAATATGGAGGCTTTTGGGTGATATAAAAAGGCCGAAACACCCCCCCGCCCCCTACTGTCTTGTTCTCTGTTACATCACCCTATTTTTTATTTTTTAAATTTACCACGATAATTTTTATATTTTCGTTTCAGCTTTAAGAAGGTTAGTGTTTATTTTGTAGAAATCGGAGCTGCAGCTTATTAATCCATACGACGATCAAAATATCAGATTATTAACAAACAAGATGATTCAACGGTAGGTCTTGTTATATATGGATTCATAGTTATGATTGTAGAAGGCTGGTGTGGTTTAACTCGGTACCCAATTTGCTTGGTTCTTCGTTAAATATTTGTGTTGTTCCTTTATTGTATAATATGTACAATTTTTTTACTTTTACTCATCATTTTTATCGACCTACAGATTGGTATATATATTTAGCGGGCCTACTATTTTACTTGCTAGAATGTCGAAGTAAAAACTGCTAACTAAAATGAAATGATGAGAGTAATCGTCACAATGAATTTACTTTCGAAATTACTATTAATTGAAACAATTTTATTTCAGTCTTTCGTTTTAATACCGGCTATTGCTGTCTCAGTGGAGCGTTCATTTGTGTCAGTTTATGAATAGTCCCTAAAATCTTCACATCATTTTAAGATGATTTGGTGAAATAACAGGTCACTAAATTGATGTATTCCATAGAATTGTGTTCGGTGTATGACCTTATATATTCAAGCAAATTTTTATCCTTATCGCCATTTGCGTATCGCCAAGTTTTGTCTTTTGTTATTTCGCCCTATTTACTAACAATTGCTATTTGATTTCCATTTGTATTAACCGCTTCATTTATGTGTATTTCGTCGAAGAAAGTCTTAACAATATTGACATAACCATAATCGGATGACAATTGCCATTTAAAAAATGTGTTTTCCCAATCATTCACATATAATAATATAGAATGTGGACACAGACCAAAGCTATTCCGAAATTCAAACTCTTGCCACACCTGCAGTTCAAAACGTGTTAACCATAATTCAATTCAGTCTATTACGTAGTTTCTAGGGTTTTTTTGTTGTTTGTTTTTTTATACGCCCACATTTTCATGTGGACGTATTATGCCGTCGCCCCTGTCCGTCCGTCCACAATTGTTTGTGGACTCTCTACAGGTCACAATTCTTATCCGATTTTGACGAAACTTGAAAATAGGTTTATCCCCAAAAGATCTCGGCTGCTTTCGATATTGGCATGTATCGGATCGAAACTTCATGGATTATGGCCCCTGATTGTACGAAAAATCACGTTTTTAGCTTGTGGACCCTATAGAGGTCACAATTTTTATCCGATTTTGTTGAAACTTGAAATGTAAGTTTATAACCCAAAGATCTCGGTTCCTTTTGATATTTGCGCATATCGGACCGTAACTTCCTGAATTATGGCCCCTGATTGTACGAAAATACGCGTTTTTAGCTTGTGGACCCTATAGAGGACATAATTTTTATCCGATTTAAAAAAAACGTATTATTATATACGTGAAGATCGGCCCAAAACTGACAGACAAAATGGTCGCCCTTCGTTCTCAAATAGCGTAAAAATATGGTATATCAAGGTTGTGGACCCTATGGAGGTCACAATTTTGAAACTTGAAACTTGTTGAAACTTGAAATGTAAGTTTATAACCCAAAGATCTTGGTTCCTATTGATATTCGCGCATATCGGACCGTAACTTCCTGAATTATGGCCCCTGATTGTATGAAAAATCACATTTTTAGATTGTGGACCCTATAGAGGTCATAATTTTTATCCGATTTAAAAAACCGTATTATTGTATCACCGTTACACCCTAAGCACGACTGAGTTCGAATTTCGTGAAAATCGGCCCAGAACTGACAGATAAAATGGCCGCCCTTCGTTCTCAAATAGCGTAAAAATAGGGTATATCAAAGTTGTGGACCCTATAGAAGTCACAATTTTTATCTGATTTTGTTGAAACTTGAAATGTAAGTTTATCACACAAAGATCTCGGTTCCTTTCGACATTTGCGCATATCGAATTGTAATTTCCTGAATTATGGCCCTTGATTATAGGAAAAATCACTTTCTTCTTAGCTTGTTCTCTATCCATCTCTCGAAAATGTGGGCGTATCCTGCCTGGCAGCCGCTGGTTAAACAACCTATGACCGATCGTGTCAATGAAAATCGTGAAGTCATTATCTTCAAAAGGAGATAAATCACTTTGTGCTCTATGTTTGAATGGCCGTTCGTCCTTCGCATGTCACTGCCAAGTGTGGGTGGTGCCCGTGGAGCTGACAAGGAAAGTGCGCCAATTCGTTCGGATGGGACAAAACCGAGGCTCTCCCATGAGTTGGTGGTAAATTCTCAAACACATAACCATAGGAATAAAAATTGCTGTATAGTCTCCTTGTAACTGAAGTATTGTCTTGTCGATTCTAATAATTCTATGTGGTAAATTCTCAAACACATAACCATAGGAATAAAAATTGCTGTATGTTAGTCTTGTAACTGAAGTATTGTCTTGTCGATTCTAATAATTCTATGTTTGAATTATTTCAGTCAAGATTTGGCTATCTTTTGCGTTATTGACCTCTTCTAGGTCTATGGAGAAAAATAGCGGAGCTACGGTATTGTAAATTACGCAATACCGACAGAATAGCAGTCTGGCGGAAATACAACCCTTTTTAACACTGCCTATAATGACACAATATTTGTTTATTTTCACATCGTGGGTAAATAAGGAAAGTTATGAAAGAAACAAAGGAATGGTAGATAATCCGATAATTGTTAGTAATTATTTATTTGTAGGTCTTAAAAAGTTTTTTTTTTAGCCGAGTTTGAATTCTTTGACTTAATTAAATATAAAAAAAGTAGGTAAATCCATCGATACAAGACAAATATTATTTTTACACGTTACCTTGAAAACAAGGTTTGACATCGATGTATTTTACATGTCTACCTTGAAAAAAAGTTTTGACTTCTATATAATTATGTGTTTTGGTTTAGGTCGCACGCATGTCAACTGCATTATCCTATGGCATTTCTCGGTCTTCCTTTCTGACCCTACGCGTAAGCGTATTATTGAAATGTGTTTGGGGACGTTGAATACACTCACCCCAACAACAAACAAAGGAGTGGTGTCTGTGATTCTCCTAAAATGGCGAATGGCGAACGCCCAAAAATTGTGATAATGCGACTTGATGACCGGGATTCCTTGATTCCCCGCTGTACAAATTAGAAGTACCGGACAATTCACAACGAAACGAAGACATGTCATGTGCTGATAATACGAGAAGGCGTATATTTTAACTTAACTGTGTTACCTTAAAGGAGCAAAATGGCTTATATTTGGGACATAGAAATTGACACAAATGGGTCACAAGGCATATAATAATGTAATATGAGTGTATATAAACTGATTTGTACATTCAGTCGTTTCCGTTTTTACTCTTAATTTCAAATCAGTTATGTTCGGCGAAATACGTCAGAAGTCTTAATCGAATGGCAGTTTCTAGCGTCTGGTTATTCCAGTCTACACCGTTTGACATGACTAGTGAAATATATCTAGTCTCGTTCTTCGAGTCCCGTATGAAAATAGTATGACTATAATTTATGATAAAAATTATGATAATACGCATCCTATGCCGGAACAGTTGTTTTCGTAGATTTTTTTAAAAAAAACTCAATTTCAGTAGATTTCAATTACAGTTATCGAATAATGTTAGTATAATGATGGATATTGTAAATTTTATTAGCCTGTTTTAACAATTTATCACGAATAGAAAACAAAACATTAGCAATACGCAAGGCTTTTAAGTTAGACTTGAACAAATCATTAAGTGTTGGGTATAAATCTATCATTTGAGACATTCACAGACATTGTGTAAGTACCTACACTTTAGATTCTCAAGAGAGAGAGAGAGAGAGAGAGAGAGAGAGAAATGGGGTTTTTAAAATTTTATTTCAATAATTCGCTTGTGCGTAGGGGTCTTTAGCAGTGGGAGGAAACCGGGGGACCCGGAGAAAACCCACGAGGTTGGACAGGCAACCCTACTCCTTGTCACGTACAACCGGGGATTCGAAACCACGCCAGTTGACTCAATGACAGGCCGTATGATACAGCACGCACGTGCTAACCATTCGGCCACCCAACCCCCCTTAGATTCTCAAAGGTCAGGCGTTGACGGTACATTCGTGTACGAAAGATGCACGCGGCGTTATTTTCTACCCGAATAAATGCTACCGATTAAAACGCAATAGCCCATCACAAGAAATTAATTGGAAATCATTGGTGGCACGCTTCGGCCAGCCGTCATCATCATATATTTGTAAATTTTTATACAAACGAAGCTAAAAATATGTTGCAATCAATACTACTGCCAATCCGCAGCAAACTTCAAACATGTATATACATGTACATAGGAATGAGTTGTAAACAATAATCATGCCTTGCAATTCGTGGTAGTATAAATATTTTCTGAAATCTACATCGAAATGTCATAACAATATCAAATTTTACAAAATTAATGAATTTATTGACAGCATAATATTGACAGGAATTGCCCCCACACGATTCAATATTTCCATCAATAATTTCATCATTTTTTGGTCATTTTTCAAAATGGATGTCATGTTTACTCTTCCAAGGTTGACGATGGAATGAAAATATTGACGCAATTATTGACAGATTCTCCACACACGATCAATATTGTCATTCAATATATTGATGAACCATCAATAAAAATCAAAATGGTTTTGATCGTCAATATATTGACGCAATGATGGTTATTGACAATATTTTACACCAATATAGCTCACACACGTTCAATATTATTGAGTCAATATATTGAGTCAATAATATTGACGGAATTATTGAACGTGTATGGGCCCCTTTAGCTTCAGCTCGAAATGTTAATCATTGAACTCAGTCAAGACATTCACCTAATGAACATCTACATCAGGTCTAAACAATCTATCTCAATTAAAAGCAGAGTTGTTATGTTCCAAAGTCTTGACCAATCAAATTGCTTATCGCTCCTTAGTCTAAGCAGAAAATCCTCACCATCGAACTTAGTCATGGTAATGATATAATGAATCTATGTTCGAAGTTTCATCGCTCTCACTTCATTATAACCAAAGTTATCGTGCTTCAAGGCATCAGCCAATCAAATTGCTTATCTGTGCTTACCGTAAGCATACCATACAATGTTCATCATCGAACTCCATCAAGGCATTCGCGTAATG